GCAGAAACCTAGGCATATAGCAGCAACACCTTTTAATTAAATCATCAGCCAGCAATTAGTCAAAATATTTAGCAAGTTATCCAAACGACGTCTAATAAAGTAGACAGAGAAGACGGCATTACTTAAAACAAAATGAAAATCCACAGTGTGCTTCCTGTAATCACAATCAAAACCTCAACCGGTGCCCGAAAAAAAAACTATTTTCCAGCCCACCGCGGCCATACAGTGTCGTAAAATCCGTGTCCGGTGTCTCAGTCAACGTCACATGAGAAGACAGTGTGTCTCCAACAAACGTTGCCAAAAGTAAAACGGATATCACCACACCAACCTTCACAACACAAGAGAGATTTAAAAACTTCTTGTCAGCATTGTCGCTTAACTTAACACTTTTTACAACTCAATGCGCCCAAGTCGTCAAAAAATAAGTTTGCAGTTTTGATTATACTAAAGAACACGAAAAGCAAGAAACCGGAAACCTCACAGTGCAGACTGCTGAAATCAATCACAACTATAAAGCGTACAACCCTCAATCTATAGGTAATCCAAATGACCAGAGATAAACCAATACGGAAAGAGTATAAGACAAGCCGACAGCGAAATAAGATAAGCCGACAACGTTATTTTTGTAAGCTCAACATGATATAAGTATGTCTGTACCAATTTTCAAGACAAATATTTCGAGAAACTTGCTTTCTACTTGGTGCTTTCTCACAAAAATAAGCGGAAAACAATATTGCCAAATATCTCATAGCCCTCAATTCAAACAAAAAGGCATTGTACATAGGCAACTTCATCGACTAATATTCTTCACTCAACGACACAAGTCCCCAGTTCAAAGGAACCCTACAACATACCGGCTTTAGAAAAACAAAATTTTATTAGCCACAAAGATAATCATTAGTATACCAGCTCCAAAAATGAAATAAATAAGCCGACAATATGAGATCTGTAGCAAAAAGGGAACTTGAATGACATCAACTAACCTCTCTATGGAGCCCTACAGAAGCCGAAGTTCAGGATGTCTTCGAAAACACGCAACGGGATTTTTTCTTTCTTGCATCTTCCCTTTTCCATCCTGTGGAACATCAGGAGTTGTTGTGTTCAAAGATTTATTGGAACCGATGGTACTCAATAAAACTCGCTTGCAATTACTGAAAGCAGCAAAAAATTTGGACCTTTTGTGCTAAAAAAATCTATCAGTTTTCTTCGAAATCTTGACGAACGGCAATTTACAACACGAAATAGCTTTCGAATTCATACCTCTATAGATGCTTCCTTGCTTTGCAAGTCAAATTATTCATATTACCGTAAGAACTAATTTACTGATCGTTTCTTTAGCTGCAACTCTCTCAAAGACAAGTGAAATTTTTTTCACTTTTGCAATCTTCAATTTATCTAAAAATAAGATCATTGTGGACCAATGACACAGACTAGAACGAAAACCAACGGCCTCAATGACGACATTCAATTATTGAAGATGTAGAAGATGTGCCAAACTATTCAATAACAACAGCACAGCGACAATCGTTCAGTGAAATAATAAATTATCTGCTGCAGAAACACTGCTCGATGCCTAGAACAGGTGATTCAACTCAGCCCATAACTGGACCAGAAAAAAGTCCGATTTTGTAGTCACTTGAAACTTCATTAAAAGAAATCAGTAACGTCACCCGTGATGATTACAGCAGCTATTCCAACAGTAAAGTTCTATCTAGTTCAAACCAGCTGCTCAAAAACCTCACGATGCGAGATATTTGGTCGATTGGACGTGATATGGAGGAACGCCCAGAAAAATATGGCACAACAAGAGGGGTGGCAATGAGAATGACTTATGAAACGTTGAATCGTCCCGCGGCCACACTTATTAAGGTTTTTTCCCGCAGTGTACTTCGGGGCTGCGGGAGTAAGTTGCTGGAGCCTGTTCTCAACGTTTTTAAACAAAAAGTCACTGTAATCATTTTTTGTAATCTTTCTGATACAATCACTCTTGAAACAAACCAGAATTAAGGTAGTTGACTTTTGGTCCCATGTTTTGATGTAAAGTGATCAGACAAATACAAATGCAGTTGCGAGGTTCTCGATTTAATCGTACAAACAACCTAATGAAACGTTGTTTTTTCTCTTCATGATAAGAAATTTTATTTTTGTTCTACCGATGCTTTCTTCTAACTGTAATGTTTTACCAATGCTTTGAAGGAGGCTGCTAACACTACCTTAAAACCTTCCACTGCTTCTAAAAATAAAACAGATTTCATATTTTCGACCTCCCACCTCCACTTTCAATAGCAATATTTCACTCGTTAAACGTTGTTTAAGCAAACCCATTTTTGATCTTTTTGCAAATTTGCACGCTGACACATTAAGTTATCGCAAATATAATTTGACCTATGTTTGTTTCATACAATCCTAATAAAACCATAAAATTTATTCCAAACTTTGACATATAAAACTTTTTAAGTGAAGCGGGGGCAAAAAAAAGCCTGTTTTTACCTTTGACGCAGTTTTAAATGTGTAGACCCGACTCCACACATGCCGAGCAGTTGACCCTGTGGGGGCTTCCTATTGCACAGGGGTATGACTGCAGAAGGTTCCAAAATGGGAGAGTCTAGTTTGATCAGTCCAATGTCGTGTGAAGAGTCATAATCCCATTTGGGAGGGCTGAAGTGCGCGGTATTTTACCACCTGTGTTTTTATGTTTCCCATAGATATTAAGAATGAAAAATGCCGTTCAATCTTTTGGCTGTGGAAAATTTAGCGGAAAAAAATCACCTGCCGAAGTAGTCATAATGCGTGAACACTTTTTTGACCTTGAAATACTCCTTCGGGGAGTTGGTGCTTCTGAAGTCCCCAACGATGACAACCATTCTGCTGACTAAATAAACAAAATTATCCATCCCTTGTTTTAGGGGACGCCCCATTAAATAATTACATTTTCTGTCCTTTACCAATGTAGCCCTGGGGTACTCTCTCGACCCAAGTATTTCTTAAAATGACAGTTTATTTGCAATCCTACATTTCCATCGTCTGTATTCACTGCACAGTGTTCATTGCACTTTTTTATTCAAAACTTTCGAAGCGTTTTTTATTAGTTTTTTTGCTTTCTCTAATGTAGTTTTTAGTCACACTTGTTTAAATAATCTGCATTTCTACTAGTTTGAAGTTAGAAACCAGATATTTGCAATGTCAGTCAAGATTTTCCGGTGACATGGAAAAAATGGTGTTTGTAAACTACAGGCATATCTGTTATATCCGATATTTGGTATTCCGATAATGGAGTATCACTTTTTTCTCAATACAGATTACCACAATGCCTTCTTGAGCTTTGATATTGCAAGCCAGGCAATTGGACTAGAAAATATGAAGCGTTTTCTTCAGGATAATTATTTTTGATTTGTACGTTTATTGGTTGCCGTTCGTCAAAACTTTGAATTTCTCGCCTAATCTCGACAGACAAAATCCGATGAAGCCAATATTGATTTATCAGTTTCCAGAATAGTGATATTGTTGGCTACAAACATCTAGATACCGTCGAAACTTAAGCCCCACTGCTTTGTGAGGATTTCATCGAAACTTGGATTGGACCAGCAGTTTTTTCATCTGTGCCCACGGTGCTTTTTTGCAACAAAATTTTATGCAATTACATCAACCTAATATAAAATTCTCGGGTTGACCTTATCAAGAAAAATTCTAGTCATACACTTTTATATATGGAGACAATGAAAAAACGCTAGTCAAAGAAATTCAAACTATAAAAATTGTTTGACTGCATTCTTTTACATCAACGAAAAATTTTTTTTCATAAAAAATTCTTCCCGTTAAAAAATACAATTTCGAAAGGGACAAAATTTCGATTTTTTTTGTTCTTTTTTCTTTACACAAACAAACAAACGTTGAAAAAAACTTCTTTGCTTGCAAAAGCAGATTTTTTGTCTATAGCGTTGTCCGGAGTCCAGGCTCAGTCTTTTTGCACAAAGGTAACAAAAATCAGAACGTGTATTTTGTGTGAAGCCTCAATAGTTTTTTATAATAACGATAGTAAGATAATTTCAAGGTCTCCCAAAAAAACAGACCACGATTTACAAGCACTCAGTTTTTTTTAAAAAAGGTTGTTTTAGCAGTAAGAAAATATACCAATTTATGATATATTTATCTGTCAAATTAGAACGTTCAGTTGAGCAGCTACTTTCGTAGCACTAAAAACAAATACAGTCAGAAAAAGAGACTGGGATACAAAGCTGATTTAGAAAATGAACAAAAAATATAAACACAAACGCGTTTTCTCAAATTAATTTGCAATTAGAAATAATATGATGGCAACGTCTCTTAGATTTTTACCAGAAATTTTATAGTGCAATTTGTTTTGCAATTTTCAGGCCCAGAATTTACCCCAAAAATGGGTCATTTTGGCTTCTTTTAGACAATCAAAACTACGCTAAATCTAATGAGTCAATTGATGTGCAAGCTATATAAAAATTAGCCTCCTCTACAGCTCAACAAGAGTCAGAGGGTATTGCCTGAAACAAATCCCACAAAGCGTTTAAATTCTGGGATCAAGTTAACATCCTCCACCCAAATAGCGCTGAATTTAAAATAAATTGATTAGCGCTGCGTGTAAAATACTCTCTTCTGATTAGCTAAAAAATCAAGCTCAGAGTCGAGTTAACATGCTCCCCTCTAAACGGATTAGGAGGGATGTTAAATTGGTTCAAATTCCGTTTCAAAACAAATATTTAAAGTTTTATGTAGAAAAATGAAATGTTTGGTTGTCAAAGAAAAATATATTAATTTATTAAGATTTTTGGAAGTAATACTTTTTTTAAAAAATTGCTGAACTGTATGAGAGGCTAATTTTATTATAAATTGCTACTTTATTGACTCAATATGTTTATTGTAATTTTTGATTGACTAAAAAAGCCAAAATAACCCAATTTTAGTGTAAAGTTTTGGCCCCAAATATCGCAAAACAAACTGTATCTAGAAATTTCTAGTAAAAAATTAAGCAATTTTGTTACTCATCATATTTGCCTAATCTCAATCCAATTTGAGTACAAAAGCGTTTAAAGTTTCAATTTTTGTTAACTTTGTCCGGTTAAATATCGGTTGCGCAGTTTTTAAAAATGGCCTTTTTGCTAGAATATCCTTTTACTTCATTATATAACTTGATTTGCTTTTTTTCTGAAAATGCACACTCTTTAAATTTTCCTGTGAACGCCATTGTTTAGCTATTTCTAATTGTTTAGCTAAAACAGATATTTCTAAGTAAAATGAAAAACTTACTATCAAACTTCGACAGACAGTGAGCAGCTGTTAATATCCAATGAGCCGCAATAATAGATCCACCGCAAATTAAATTTCCGCTATTAATTGAAATATTGACAAAGAATGGCCGTAGATCAGTTGCATTGTGACCATTGACAAGAAAAGATTCAACTGGTACCTTTCTTTTATCCAGATTTCCTGACATAGATAAGCATAAAAAGGTTGGAAAAAAGAGAAAAACAATTGAAAAAGTCAGTTGCATTTTTATATGCACCGTGTTTTCAGTTAAGCGTCAAAATTTTGTTAAGAAAGCGTAAAAAAAATTGAATAACAAAGTCTTTTAGAACAACTTTTTAACCTGATATCTAAGACAATAAATGACATGATATGGAAAGTTATTATATTTGAGTTGACTCTACTATTTGTAAGTACAATATTAATCAGACTAACAATCTTTGATCCTATGAAGAATTTCATCAAAACAATCGAAACTACATCAGACCATTGTGAACAATCTCCCCCAAATTGACTTAGGGCTGATAAAGTTCACTTGATTATTTTGCTTTTTGATTATTTTGCTTTGAAATTGGTTGATGCATATTTTCAATCAATCAGAATGCAGTAATTTCGAGAGAAAGGATATAAGTTAAGTTGAGCAAGTGTTTGACCGCTTATATTGCCGCCAACGTGTTAACAGCGCAAAATATATCGCGTGTTAATTGTTCCAAAATGACTAAACTGGCTATGGTTACGGGGGGGGGGGGGGCATTCTCATGCGCGAAGGACCGAATGGGCGGAAAAAGTATGGGTGAGGGACCAAAAACAAAATTAGCCGAAAGTCAGTTTTTGAAAAGAATCAATTGCCATTCAATTAAAATGAATTAAATGAAGCAACTTTTTGCATCTTTCATACTGAAACCCTTGAAATACAAAATTTGGTCCAATTTGCCGGCGGTCAATGACAATTTGAAACTTTTGCATATTTTTGCCGTTTTTATATTCGGCCAATATCAATATTGGGACCCTGAAAATGATTATCTTCTTTCAGACTTTCACGTTTTCTTTTCAAATTTTAGATTACCGAAATTTGATTGGCTGCTTTTTAATTTCGCACACTCGGTCATTTGCATATGAGAAATTCCACAATGGTTACATCGTAAAAAATATTTCAGTTATTAGGCAGACGCATCATAAAAAAACAAATTGTATAAAGCATCATAAAGCAAACTTAGGAAACAAATAGTTAAATATTTATTCCCGAGTTTGCTTTCTGTTCTCAATTCTGATGGTTAATATAGTATTTTTTGCTTTTTGACCGGTCGGAAATAAAGGTTGTCTACTTTTTGACCGCAATCACTTAACTATTTTTCAAAACCCCAAATGATTACGAAAAGTAATCACAGGTAAAGTATCTTTCTAACTTTGAGCTCAGGACAACAATATATTTCAATTGATTTCAAAAAAATTCCGTCGTAGTAATTTAAATGTCCAAGTTTGTCTGAAAAAAACCACCCAAGCAAAAATATTCCATACTTTTCTCCGAAACTCATTTTCTTCGGAACAATAACTTGGATATTTAACACTACGTAAAATTCTTGATCAAAAACGCGCGGTTGTCATCGGACTTTTTTGCATTGTTATCCATTTGATTGTCAAGTTCGTCTCTTATTTGATTGGGGGAGGAGAGAGGGAGTTCATTTGGTCGATATGGGGGGATGTTAACATGGAATCTTAAATCTCCTTTGCTGCGAAAATGATGCGAAATATTTCTATTGGAAAAAAGAAACAGTTTACAATTAAATTAATTTGTGGTTTTTGTAAACAGCCGAGCTATCATCAAGGTCTTACATTCCTGACTAATTATAAACAATTTGCGTTATTCTTTCGCAGTAATTTCATTAATTTCATAGAGCGATGACTTTTTTCTGCAATACCAGACAGTAATATCATAATTTTTCTGCAATACCAGACAGTAATTTCATGATTTTACTCAAGGTTTTAAGGTTTTAAATATGGAACAACAATTTCAGCCAAAGTTGGAAAGACAGTGGTATATCTGAGGCTAAAGGCCAGGAGAGAGCGTTTCCTAGCACGTAATCATTTGCATGGGATCGAACCCTCATTTTGACGTTCTGCAAATAAAGCACGTTTCTGCCTTTAAATTTAACAATTTAAAGGCAGAAAGGCGCTTAAAAAAAACAATTTTTTGGTCAAAGTCCTTGGATTTTATTCACAATTGCGAAAAAGGTAATTCCTTTCAAGGCAGGGGCGGATCTAGGATTTTCTCGAGGGGGGGGGGGGCGTGGGGGTGGGCGGATTTTCAAAAAAGTTTCGAACATTTTGTTGACATTTTTTAGGTCGACTAAATTGATTTTCCGAGCACTGCCAAAGCACTAAAAAGAGCCTGTTTTGGTCAATATTTCTGCGCCGCTGGCAATTTTTTTTTAAATCAAGCCAAAAAACGCTTTTAAGGCATTTTTTGGAAAATTTTGACCAAAAAAAATTGCGTTTTTTCGGCGCGCGCTCCCCCCTCAAAATTTGTATATATTGGCGCTTAAGGCGCCTTGAGAAAATTTTTGGGGCCCGTTACCAAAATGGATATCGCAAACTAGTACAAAGGGGGACCGTTTGGGTCGACAGGGATTCGAATCCCTGAAGAGGGAAGGGGGCGTAAAGCCCCCCCCCCCCCCCCAAATCCGCCCGTTTCAAGGTAGAAAAAAAAACAAATCAAGATCCAGTGCAAAATGTCTGATGACAAACAAGCGTTTTTCACACATTATATAAAATATGAGAAAATTGCCTTCAGTTTGTATAATTCTTAATCGAAAAGATTTACTTTTTACGATTAAGGAGAACTTGGAGTAGCAAATTGGTCGACAAAAAAAAACTTGTTCGACTCTCAATCATCACTCCTTCACGCCTCTTCAAGCGTCCTTCTGCATTGAAACTTCCATTTTGAAGTTCCTTTGCTAAGCTTATGCCAGAACAACACTCTCTCTTTGATGTAAAATCAGATCCAACCCTAGTCACGGGAAAACTTGAATAGTTGTTTTTGCAATCGTTATTATAGCTGATGGGACTCGTTGTTTTAGCCTTGTATCATACCAGTTTCAATCAAAATTTACTCGATACTATTTTCTTTTTCTGCCTCTACACTTTATCCGGCTGATTTCACGGTTTATATAAATTGTTTGGTAAATCCTTTAGCTAAAATTTAGTCCGTGGGTAGAAACTCGGGAGCAGATGAATGTGAAGACAGTGTGTGACACTTTTTAGGGTATATTTTTATTAAAAACAAAAAAGGAACCAATCTAATACTCCTCACCATCGGAGCGGATCTAGTATTTTCTCGAGGGGACTCATTTTCAGAAAAAGTTTTGGACACTTTTTAGGAAAACTTTGACCAAAAAATAGCGTTTTTTTTGCGCGAGCCCACCTTCAAAATTAGTATATATTAGTGCCAAAAGCACCTTTAGAAAAGTTATGGTTTTGGTCGGCCAAAACAGGTTATCATAAATCAATATCAAAACCCTTAGTTAAGTGAGGGGGTCGAATCCCTGAAAAAAGAGCGAATTCCTGAAAAAAAAATATTTCTGGTGACGTGTCCCGGGTCGAGGTCCTCGATTTATGTTTTGACTTTCTCGACAAAATAGCGGTATGTTTCGATCGTCTCGACGAATTTTTGGTATGTTTTGACTTTCTCGAGCAAATTTTGATATGTTTTGACTTTCTCGACCAAATTTTGAAACATTTCAATTTTTTTCTCGACTCAACAAAAATGTATTCATCTTTGTTCGAACCAGCTCTGATTTGTTTCGACTTTTTTGTTTAAAATTCGGTTTATTTCGACTTTCTCAATTGTCTTGATTGACATTTTTTTAAAGTTTACTTGTTCAATCCCGCATGGACATGCTTCGACTTTCTCGACCAACAATGATCTTTTTTCGACTGTCTCGCTTTTATCGACAAAAAAATTCTCGCTTTATTGTCGGCTGTGGTTGCTCCAAATAACTGTTCAAAAAGTTTTTTTTTGTATCTCAGAGAAAACACATTTGGTTTGTTTTTCATATCAAACTTTGGAACTAAAAACTTAAGTTTTTGGATTAGCATTTTACAGTTTTCAATATCAATTAAATAGCTCAGATAGTGAAACGGTTTCTTTTGCATATTTAAAGAGTTTATTTCTTTTTCTTCAATATGTCCTTGGTACAGTTGATTTGTGGAAACGATACCAAAAATTTAAAAAAAAATCTGCACGACCTATGTTTGGACTGTGCTCGAACTAAGTTGCGACTGTGCTAGACAAATATTTCGTTTTCTCGATCGAAATTGGGTATATTATGACTGTGCTCGACTTTTGTTTCGACTGTGCTCTACCTATGTTTTGATTTCCTCGATCATAAATGGGTATGTTGCGACTGTGATCCACATATGTTTATATTTTTTCGACTTTCTCGACTATCAAATAACATAAGCAAATTGACAATAATTTATAATTTATGCTTTTCAGTTGATTTTTGAATTGAACATAAACTATAAGAACCTGTAAAATGCAAAATTTCTACATCTAAAACTATCTTTTTTCATTTTGAATCTCACAATTTTGCTTTTATTTTCCTTACAAATCTGGGTTGAAACTGTTGATGGGAAAACAAATTTTTGAGAAATTCTTGGTAGTAGTTATTTTTTCTTGCGGAAGTCAATGAAGAACAGGAGTCTGTCATCTTTTTTTTAAATTTAAAGGCAGTGTATTTTTGTTGCAATCCCCAGCTTTTTGCTGAATTATAATCGAAAAGATGTTTTTAGTGCTTCTGCCATTATATTTTTTCATGGTTTTCTTTTTTCATGAATATACCTGATAAATTACAGCATAAAAATCAAATGCGTCAATTATTTTTTTGGAGCAGATGGCGACAGTGATTGCTTTCTTACATGTAAATGAAAACAATACTGCGATACTCTTTGTGGTTAAACTTAAAAGAAATCAAATTGGCCGCTTCTATAACTACGCCTCAACTCGAGTTCAAAAAAGTTCCCAAGCGCAGTCGTTGTGATTCTATTTAATTTTATCCGTTTTATTTCTCAGCCATTTTCCACGTATGCTAAAATCACTTTGAAGGGAGAAATGTGAGCCAAAAATGAAGACAACTTGCATCAAAGCAAAACTTAATCGTATTGACTAATCCTTAAGTTCAAAACAAAAGTTTTAATGATCCCCCAAACGCTACGTGAAAATGATGTAATTAGCGTCTAGAAATCTGTTAAAAGACCGAATAGCTTGCCTCAAGTCGGTTTGGAAGGATTTCGGAGCCAGATTAAAAAAGCCCATTAGGCCTTATTAGCACAAACATATTGCGCCTCAATTGACCCAAGCCAGCCATTGGCAACTTTCAAAACAACATAAAATAAAAAAAACTTAAAGTTTGAACTCATGA